GTGTAGACATAGCCTGAAGTGTTTTTTCTAGAATATGCTATATGATCCTCTGAGGCTGTATGATACACACAATAAAATATAAACAAAATTATGTACTTGGAGTTTCATGCATTTCTGCTCATTACATGGGCATGAATATTAAATATGTTATGTTGTCTGATGAGGTCTGCTCGATTCTTTATTTCTGTGGCTAATATTTTAGAAATAACTTGTATTTTCTACTAAAACAGGTCTCTGTGGGAATGGTCTACAACTTTTACCTAAAACTGGGGGAGCAGAATTCTTCACATATCTGAACTTGCCTGTAGGTGCCAACCTCAAGTCAGCCTGAGAGCAGGACCTTCTGGGGCATAGTTCAAGAGAGATGTGGGGATGAAGTACCCAAACAAGTGTCATCTGTATTTAAAGGAAAAAGAATTAAAAGACAGGAAACTCCTTATACTTTGCTTATTAGAAATATGTGTTCTTTATTGCTCACTGCTCCCTTATTAAAAACAAAACAAACATGAGACATGAGACCAAAGGAAAGTAAACAACTAAATGGCCAGACCAAACAAAAGAAGAGCTATGAGGCTTAGATATTTTGGTGGGATCTAAATTCTGTTTCCTGAAACATTCTGTACAAGGGCTTTCAGCTGACTTAAGAGGTTCAGGTCTCTACTATCCTATAGTAGAGCATGTAATTTCGTTAGAAGCAAATCCTGTGTCCTGAAAGATAAATCCAGGGGGCTATCTTGCAGATTTTTTTCCTTGTCCTCCTTACTCCATGAGTGGGGGTTTGGCAGATAAATTCAAAATAGCCACACAAAAGTGTTGCAGAGTCTGAAACAGATGGAACATTACAAATATGTCTGAACTTTTAAATATCTGCTATTACTAATGTATTTTGCAGTGTTACACTGTGCACAGAGACTGGCTTTGAACATATGAAGGCCTGACTCAGTTCAAGTCCATCCAGCCAAAAATTGTGCAGCAGTGCCCAGGAGCAGATGTTATGGGGGAGTTTAAGAAACAGGCGCTATGGAATGACTGTTTCCCAGCAGTTCTTTCTAAACGTGGGAAATCAGAAGTAGGGATGTTTCTGAAACTGCCAGGATCCACTGTTTAACTGTCGACCTATCCTTTGTGAATTCACCTAGTGCCTCTTTGTTCCTTTGTAATTTTGTGCCCCACAGCATCTCAAGGCAAAACATTACACAATATTCTCATGTAAAAAAGTCCTGTGGTCTGACATCTTGTAGAAGTTTTCCCTAGTTCTTAGCTGACACAAAGTACTGAATGCTTGTTACCCATTTCTCCACATATTTCATTATTTTCTGAATCTGTACTTTATAAAGACTTTTCCTCTCGCATCATTACCTTTAAATGTTGGAATTCCATGTTCTGGTTTTTGCTACATTGAAACTGTTGTATACAAGTTTTAAAAATGCTTTCTTTTCTGCTTTACTTTACGCTTTCTCTGCTTCCACTTACCCATTTTGATGTGGGATTTCTGGCATTCAGGAATGTGTCATAATGAGATTTGTGAGATTGCTCTTTCCTAATAGCATTCCAGTGCCATGGTTGGAGTGGTCTCTCTCTGAGCACCCAGAGGATGGCTTCTCAGAACTATCTACAGTGACCCTCTCATCCCTTTCCTCAGTGGTAACAGCTCATTCAGAGCTATTGACTCCTACCCCAGAACAAGCTAGAGAGAAACAAGCCTGGGAAAGTCCCATCATTTACTAAAGCTGCTGATCCATATGAATGTTAATTGCAGTTAAGAGTCCTGTTGGGTCAGTACTAATTAATTATCACACAAGTACCACTAGAGACTGATGATAAACTTCCTGAGAGTTTAATCCTTGTACACACAAAACTTCTAAGAAGAATGGAAACACCGAAGATCACAATTTGTAGAAGAAACAGAAGAAAGCAAAGACATTAATAGGGCTTTTACTTGATCTTGGTATTTGCTGCTGCTCACTGCCCTGCTTTAAACAAACAAAAAGATACCATTTTAAAAACAAGCAAACAAACCAACTAAATAACCATACTAAATAAGAGAATAGGTGAGAGGAGGAGATATTTTTAAGAGTCTAAATTCTAGAGAGTAATATTAAGACTAACTTAAGATGTAAATCTCATTAAGGGATATGAGACAATATAAATTACGAGCTTTGTTTGCTGCCTACATTTTTACTTGTGTCCAAAAATGTTCTTTAGCATTTTGTTAAGCATATGAGTGGCTCTGACTTGATCTTACTGGGTCACTATAGTGGCTAAGAGCAGTGTCAGTAGTTAGCACTTTGCTGTGAGGGACAGCTACCAAGCAAAGCCCCTGCAGTAAAAATGCCATGAAGCTGACAGACACTACAAAGCTCTCACAGTATCAAGAGAAACTGAAACTTAGAAGCTCTGGTATTTGTGTTGTATAACTAAATCCCCCAAACCTCCAACTAATGCTGAACATGATTTCTATTTGTGTTTATAATCAACCAACATCCATCTCCTCCAGAATATACTGCTCCAGATGCTCTCTAATCAAGCAGCATCAGTTTACCCTTTCTGCCACCCTGGGCTTTGTTGCTACTGCAGACACCCTTTTATTTTTAAAAGGTATTAAAGTATGCAGGCTTTATTTTTTTACTCTTTCTTCAGTTTACACCAAAACATCCTTTTTGTATGGAATGACAACATATCTGAAGATGCCAGTACTTATGCTAACACAGCCCTCGTATAACTGTAAGGTTTTGCTGATCTGGGTAGTGCTTCAGGCTGGAAATGCTTGGGTTGGCATGCTTCCACGGTTAATACCTGCCCGAATAAGGAGGCCCAGAAAAGTCTTCTGAGAGCCTACAACAATGCACTGCTATCCAAAGCCCCAGACTGTGCTCAACTGGGGTTTTCCAAGACCTAGCAAGCCCAGTGGTGGGAATAGGGTTGCAACAGCAAGGCTCGTATCCCTTGTGCAATGGAAAATTTGGAGAGGAACCAATGATGTTTTCTTTCCTGAATTCTGGTAGAAGATTGCAGAGATGCCTCTTCCCTCAGGCAAGCTACATCTCAAGGGTGAAACAGAGATGTAGAAACTGCAAGACAATAAAGCGTGATTAATTTTTGTCAGTGAATGCTGTGCTGTGACCCAATTTCCAGGTGTTTTTAAATGCAATCTCTATCTTGCTCACATTCTTCTGGGAAGAGATCCATTTAAATTAGTGCGATCTCTCAGGTCTCTAATTTACTGCGTAGGGGTGTGGATCAAGGGGGCTGTTTGCAGCTTAGCCTGAACAAGATTAGCCTGATACTTTTGGATTGAAGAAAGCAATTATGGCAATTGTGTGTGAAATGTTTACATTGCTTGTCCTATGGTTTTTCTAACCATCTTGCAATTTTGGGGATGTTATCTACTCCTGATTTAAGACCTCGTGAACAATTCCCCTCTTTGTGAGGAGCAGAGCAGATTGCACATTTTTCTTTCAGCAGCAGCTCTCAGAAAGATAAGCCCAGTTCCCCTCCTTGCCAGGTTGTGCTCCAATTTGTTCCATTACTTCATGCATTTTAAGACAACAGGAATTTTTACATTCATGAAACCATTCCAGTACAGTTGCACAGGAAAATGTGCTCTTTGATTTACACTGCACTTGAAGAAATCAAGGGTGGTTTTAATCTCTAGAACTGTCCATTTTGACATGTAGCTGGGATGATGCTTAGGCATTGAGATAAAACGCGGATCTCCTGTATAGGCTCCTATGTAGAGCTTCCTTGTATATTCTATGTGGATCTACTTTATATACCTTTTTAGGCAGCACAGTTGAAGATACAACATATTCAGTGAGACACTTCCACCTCAAGGATTTGTTTCTTTTGTTGATTTCTCAAACCTGTTATTCAGCTGTTAAGATATTGTACAAAGTGAAGCTGTTTACAGAATTAGGGAGTGGAATACATGAGAAAGGGATGAAAAGCTTATGTCTGGTCCTCTGTGGAAAGCGCCACTCATCTCACCTGGAATTGCCTTGAACAAAACACAGATGTGCTCTGTAGCAGGAGCTACACGTTTTTTTCCCAACAGCCCTAACACTGGTGAATAAAATTGTCTGGTTTGTCATTAATTATGCTAAAATAAAAATGTGGTTATGCAGAAAACATCGTGTTGATAAGTGTCTTCTTTCCAAATTTCAAAATAGAAGATTTTAACAAGGAAAAACTTTGCTTTAGGTTGGGCTGAAACTCTGCCTCCAGCTGTTTTGTAATTTTTTTTTTTTTTTTTTGCAAGCTTTCAGCACTCTTCCAGCCCCTCTACTCAGTCAGATGTGTCGAGGCCACATCTGGAGCAGGTTGTCCAGTTGTAGACTGCTCAGCAGAACAGAGATATGGAGCTCCTGGAAGAGGTCCAGGGCAACAAAAGTGATTGGGGAACTGGAGCATCCCCCTCACTCGGAAAGACTGAGCTGCGCCTGTTAAGCCTTGAGAAGAGAGAGATACCAGAGAGTGGAACTCCTCAATGTCTAAAAATATCTAAAAAGGGTGGGTGCCAAGAGGAAGGCTTGTCCTTGGTGCTTCAGCAGGGAGGTTTGACCAGATGACCCACTGTGGTCCCTTCCAGCCTGGAGGATTCTGTGATTCCAGTGGCGGAAACAGCTTTTTCCTTGTGTATTTAATAATAATAATAGTAGTAATAATAATAATATCATCAACTCCCCGTGTTCTCCGCGGAGGGCCCCGATGCCAGCCATGCCCGTGTGCCCTCGGGGCCGGGCCGGGCCGGCAGGTGAGGGCAGGTGGCAGCTCAGCCTGCCGCGCTCGGGGCCGCGCTCGGGGCCGCGCTCGGGGCCGCGCTCGGGGCCGCGCTCGGAGTCGGGGCGTAGCGCGGCGCGATTGGCGGCCCGGGCCGGGGCCGGGGCCGGAGCCGCGGGCGGGGCGTCCCTGAGGGCGGTCCGAGGTTCCTCCGCCGCCGCCGCCCGCCCTTCCCGCCCTGCCCCGCCGCCCGTGCCCGGCCTTAAAGGCGCGCAGGGCCCGCGGCGGCGGCAGTAGCGCAGTGCGGGCGGCGGCGGCGGCTCCTCAGCGGTGCCGGCAGCGCGGGGGGGCCGTTCCCTCGGAGCGCCTCGCCTGGAGCCCCTCCCTGCCGCCTCCGCCGCGCTCCCGCCCCTCGGGCCGAGGCTGTCACCGCGCCGGGCGCCGCCAGCATGTTTGACAGGACGCGGCTGCCCTTCGTGGCGCTGGACGTGCTCTGCGTGCTGCTGGGTAGGTCGGGGGGCCGCGGAGGAGCGGGGGGGGCCGCCCCCGGGGCGCCGCGCTCCCCCCGCACGGCACCGCGCTGATCGCATGCTCGCCCCCCCTGCCGAGCGGGGCTCCTGCCGGCCCGCAGCCCCCGCCGTGCCTGCCGCCCCTCGCCCGCTCCCCCGCTCCCGCACGGGGGGACCTGGTCACTGCGGAGGGCCGGGAGGGGAAGGGGAAGCCCCGGGGGGAGGGAGCTGCTGCAGCTTATCCGCTGGCATCTGGAACTGCCTCTTCTCTCTGATGCCCTTACTCTTCCTTCCCTAACCTCCTCTGTCGGATGAAAACCGGTTGTGACAAAAGCCCGTGCTGAAGAGGTCAGATAGATACCTGCAGCCTGGGATGTGTTTGTTACCCCGAGTGGGTCGGGAAGCTGTCCTGGAAGGGGCCGTCATCACGGAAACACGGCTGATCCATCCAGGGTCCTGCAGAGGCGCGGCGGTGCTGCGGCAGGGCAGGGTTCGCTTAGGGCTGAGTTGAGGGCGGTCTCGGTGGCACCGAACCGCCGCTGTAGCCGTTGGCTGGAAGCGACACGGGACCTTCCTCAGAGCGCCGTGCCTCCGTGTGCAGCAGGGAGAGACGGTGTCGGGACAGGAGCCGTGCCTCGGTGATGGCCAGGGGTTGAACCGACACAGCCACAGCACACTGCCACAGCGCTGCAATGCTTGTCCTGGCCAGCCCAAATATCAGCGCATTCCCTGTGTTACTTTATTCTATTTCAGTCTCTATTGAAACTACTTCATGTTCTGCCAGTTTGCATTAGCTCTCTCCTTTTATGTAATGAGACAGTGTAAAGAGCAACGATGTCAGCTATCGATCAGAGAAGGGGCAGTTTAACTTCGTAAGGAATCCTGTCAATATTGGGAGCCTGGAAAGTGTCTTTACTCGCTGGAGGTGTACTTCTTGGTCAGTCTTAGGAAGTGCTAATTTTGGATGTTTGCTTCTTAAGCAAATAATGTCAGTACTTCAGTAGTCTAAGCACTTTCTTGTCGTGTTCAGTGGTAGCATTCAGGCCTAGCTCATGAATTCCTGCTTGGCTGAGTTTTTTGGCTGATGTTTGTAGCATCACTATAAACACAACGAAGAACGTTTTTCTCTTGCTGTATGCTTCAAATAGCAGTTACCTGTAGCTAAATGCTATTAAAAAGCAAAAATACAATGAATGATGTGTTGCTCTTAGGTAACGTTACAGGAAAGGGAGCTTTTGCAAAGTGATAGTGGATCCATGTAATCCACTGGAAGCAGTCTTTATTCATATCATGAGTTTTATCAAACTGTGCTATTGTGAGGCCTAAACTTTCATACTGTCTTTATGGTGAGTGAAGCAGCTTTGTCTGTCTGGATAATTGTCATTACAGAATCTTTATAATTAGACAAAAAATTTGCACTATGCATATAGTTTGGTCTGTATGAAGCATATGGACATATTGTAAGTAATCTTGAGTAATCAAGGAAAGGAAAAGATATTGAAAGTATGATTGCAGAAGTATATAACTTGAGGGTCATCCACCTGAAAGGGTTAGGGTTTCCCCCTACTGCTCTTCTGATTCATTGGCTGGGAAGGTAGGTTCTTGACCTTGCTCTGCAGTGTAATATCAGTTTACACACCTTTCTCTTCTCTCCCCCTCACCCTGTGTAGAATTTGGATCTCAGATGCACTTATCTGGTGCCTCAGTGTGCTGCAGGGTTGCCAGACTTTTTATTTTCCCTTGGGCTTGTTTACTTCTTGAAAAGTCTCAAAAATGCAGGCAGTGCATAATATGAAGTTCCCTGAGACCTGCAGCTTTAAACACATTGAGTTACAGGTTTCAGTGAAACTCTAGCTGAGATAAAAAGATAGATATTTGCAGAATGGGAAAGATACTGGATGCAGGACCAAGTTCTCTTCCTCTTCTGCCTGACTCCTACGGCTGAGACAGGCATAGGTCTTACCTGTGTCTAATGGACTGTTTAATTATTTTGCTGTAAAAAGAATAGTTCCTGTCGTTTGTGGACTTTAACTCTCACTTTTCCCCTGCCCTTCCCCCTGCCTGTGCACTTTGGTATCTGGTCAAATGACAGAGGTAACTGCCCAGATAAAGTGACCTGCCCCTATGGATAAACGATACCTAGTATCTTCCTGCAGGGACCACGAGGCCTCCAACGGAACGGAAGGTTTAAAAGCTAGGAAGAACAGTTTCAGTTGAGGACTGAACCCTCAGTCTTGTTGTAGTAGCCCATGCTGGCACAAAAAGGGGTACCAGTAGCATCCTCAGACTCCCCAGAGCAACTCTTTTGATACAGAGCTTTTCTTTTTTCTCCTCTTTTTCCTGTTTATACCTTCTCCAAAGTAAATGGAGATGGGAAAGAAAATGTAATTTCATTGTCTCAGGAATGTTGAACTTGAAGCCCAAGCGATATCCAAGCATACCACTTGAAGTTGCACTGCTCTGACACACCCATGAACTCACCGCAGTAGAAGCGGGCGATTCTGACTGTGTGTCTGACTTACTCGCTCCTGCTTTAGTCAAGCCATATTTGTGTGGCTTCAACTTTCCCAGCATAATTTTTTCAAAAGAAAGGGAAGGGAAAAAAGAGCTGTCCTGTTCCTGTGATTTTTGTGTGTGTATGTGTTGGTGATTTAGATGAATTTGTTGAAAGGTGTGACATGCTCAAGATGGAGCTGAGGTAAGAGAATAAGAAAGACGTCAAAGAAGAACAGGTGGGGAGAGGGGAAAAAAGTAGGAGGTAAAAACATCTCCCTCCATAAAATTATTAGCCCAATTTGGTTGCCTGAAACTTGAGTCTAAGTTTCTTTTCATTATCCCTAAGAAAGACCTCTCCCTCATCTGCCTTTTTACCCACTAAAGGAGAGAGAATTCAGGGAAAGCAGTCTATGGTGCCCTGAGAAAATAACTCCTTCCCTCTTATCAGCATGATAGTTCTCTCCTTCTAAAAATAACACTGGTGTTTCAGCATTAAAGTAGCTCTGTATTCTGCTATCTAAAAAAAGCAAAAGTTGCAGGTTTCTGCAGTATCTGTCCTCAAACAGTGTGAGGAGGCTGTATCTGCATTCTGTGCTCATCTGCAGTGCTGGGTGTGTGTGTGCTGCATGTCTGCATGCAGCTCTGCAGTGCTGCAGGCAGCACCTCCCTTACTCCCCGTGCTCCAGTGGACAGTGCTCAGCTGCTTCTGGCACTGCAAAGCATGACTGGACTGGACTGCAGGATTTTTCTCCCTCATACTTCTGTTACTTGTCTCTCCTAGGTTTTCTGATAGACATTTTATATAGCATGGCAGAGATCAGCCTTATAGACAGTAGTGGAACCATTTTTCACAAATAGATACTGAGGCTTGGATCTTTTATAGTTTATTACACTTCCAAACTGTCATGCATAAAATGTCAGTTTATTAGAATAGCTTAATTAGTTAGCTTCCAACTGGTGTTTTCATTAGGCACTACATATATATGTATGCATGTACTCTCCGCCACTCTTACAGGTCTATTGTTTGATTGCAAATCAGGCTCCTTTTTCATTAAGGCAGGTAAACAACACTTAAAGAACAAAGTTGGGAAACACATGGCAATATTCCTGCAATCAGTGGAAGAAGTGCTAAATACATTTGTCTCTAGATCAGACTCTCATAAGGACAAAATCAGATTGAAGGAAACTCTGCAGAGGTGACCGGAGCCATAAGGAAAACACTTTCTGTCACAACTCTGGGATGACTTTCATCTGGTCTGTACGTCTTGAAATTCACGGCTAACTTGAGTGCAGGGGTGCAATATAATGCAACTGTATTTCTTTAGTCCCTTGCCTGACTCTGCAATTACTGACAAGCCATTGTAAGTAACTGGGGAGTGTACTTGTCAGTATGTGATTGCTGGTGTAATGCAAGAAATTGTCCAACCCAAGATTAGAAAAACTAAAGACTTCTAAAGAATTCAACCCTTACTGCTCTGATTCACTTTTCTGCAATATATTAGAAATAGTAAAGTGTTACTTCAATTTAAAACTGGTGTGGAATATAGTTATGTTTGTGTAGGGATTTCATCTTTTTTTTTATTCTCCATGTCCTACCCTGTGACTTTGGGGAAGATGAGACTATGGAAGTCTTATTTATGCATTTTGATGATTCTTACTATCATTTTTTTCATTAAACTACTTCTGAGGAAGGGAAGGACTTCCAGTCCTTTCAAACAAAATTATACGTGAACTGAACCCAGAAATAGTAAGCACTCACAACACTTCCAGCATGCTGTTTAAAGACTACTGGAATGTTTTGTGACACATGACAACATGCTAAACAGCAGATGAGTTTGCTTTTGCAGGGTGTGAGATGTGGGGGCGAGATGGCTGGACCACCCTGCACACCATGTTTTACTTCCAGTTCTATTCTCTTGAGAGTGTTTACTTGTGCTGTAGCTGAAGGCTGCAGTCTTGGTGACAATTAAGGTATTGCTGCTCAGTCAGGGAAGGCTCCTTGTATGTGGGTTAGCACTTCCTGATTGCCCTAGTTCAAATAAAACCTCCTCCGCTATTATTTGTGACTCACTGACATATGTCACCATCCTTATTTTCCACATCATGTGGGTGCTAAATACTTTTTCTAGTGCATGAATACATTGTAAAGTTGTAACAGGTACATATGAAAGAGCAGTTTGTCTTCAGTGACACTATATACCAGGTACCATGATCTGGTACTTTTTAAGTTGATACTCTCAGTTAATTGGAAACATAGTTGTTACCTGAAACCAGGAAAATCTTTCTTCCCCTGCTGTGCTTTCTTCTGTGCAACAGTCACTTTATATTTCCCCCAACATAAAGAAAGATGCTCGACCAGAGACTCACTCTCTCTTGATCAGAAGCCTACAGAAAAACTTTAGGTAAGAGTTCAGTTAGTTAATGAACGCTATTCAAAGTCAGGAGTCTGATTCTTGTTCTGTCAGCTTTTGCTATTATGTATCTTGTACTAATTCTGACTTA